GACAATAAGCCCTGAGCGTTGCCAAACATTTTTTTAATTTTTTATAAAATTTATTTATTATATATTATAAATTTACAAATTTATTCTGAAAATCATATTTTATGTTTCAACCATTATTTTATCTAGCAATTCAACTATTTTTTATCAATTATTATATAAGCGATTCCATCCACATATTCTGAAAAGAATCATTTACCTTTTAAACAAAAACGTATTTGCGCCACAGAGTTTGTTTTACGAAAATTCATCAATTTATTTGAATATCTTTTTATTGTAACAAGATTACCTGATGTTATATTAAATTTCCTCGTTTAGATATGTATCACATTAGTTCTCACGGCATAACTTACGTGTTGGATGTTTTATCTGTTGGTTCGTATGCAATAGTTTTACCTTTCAACAATTTGACAGTTTTGTGAAAGAAATTTTGCTGTACTTTTTTTAATATTTTGTTAGAATCTCCAGCTTGAAAACGCCAGCACATAAAATAGGCGCTAAACACTTATAAGGCAGAAATAAAATACTCCTTGTCAATGTTTGAAACATTCTTGTTCATCTCCTCTAAGCAATTTTTATCTGTTGCTTCACATTTTACATTCAAAAATTATCTTTTTCTACGTTTAAAACATAATTTTACTTTTTTTTATCATCGAAAAATGACGGACAAAAAATATTTTTTAGGATATGCGTGTAGTTTACATTTTTGAAAACTTTTGCTAGTTTTAAGTTTCTGTTAATTATTCTACATCATTGTAAATATTTTATTGAAATTCTGAATTCTCTACCTCAAAGATGGTGTGTTGATTTTTCTTTTGTTGGTTTACTGGTATGAGAGTGTTTGTTGTTGATAATAATATATCAAGGAAGATGATGTTGTTAGCGCTAAGAATTGCTTGATGCTAACAGGTTTAGTTATTTAATGTGACTTTCTGTGAAAGTTGCTCCTGTCAGTTTCTACTTATTCGAAATTGTTTGCATTTCACATAAAATGTTTGCTCCAACTTCAATAACGATCGGCGAGCTAAAAAAAATGCATTATTGATGAAATTTTTTCTATTACTTAAACAAATGAATGCAACGAAAGTTAGTAACGTTATTATGAACCATCTGTATTGCTGTATCGAGTGACAAACACACAAAACAGATTCATACGGTGCATCTATACATTTTGGTGTATATAACTCAAAATTTTTATTCAATTGCTGTTGCCGAAAACCATATGCGAAGAAAAATTTAGAAGTTTGACTGTTCCATAAAACTGAAAAAAATATCAAGTGACTTTCAAACAAGTTATTAAATTTCAATCATCAGTCAGAATTATTTTCAAAACGTTTGATAAATTAGCAATATTTTTACTTTTATCCTGCTTCTAATTGTAGCAGATACTAAACAATTTTCCAGAAAAACTAAAAATGCATAACTTATATTATTATGTTACTTTTCCAGGTGTTACAATCTCAAAACAATCAACAACAATATACAAAGTCGACTTAATTAAATTTACAAAACTTAATTAGACGGCAAAAAATTAAACTATTAAAAAATAGGCTGGTTTCATTCCAGAGACCCTTGTTTGTATATGCAAAAAGTCTTAAAACCGCTCACGCGCTGAATGCATTTCGTTGAGATGCCTAAAAATGCACTGAGAAGAAATATTGAAAAAATGAACACACACAGGTTTCTGTGGCCAAAACACGCTACACAAAACTCTCTCGACGACATTTTTTCTCTACTTTGCCTGCATTCTGCCAGCCATCGCTCTTGGAGTCCTTTACTACAACAACACCTCTGGACCGTCTGGAGAGGGACAGATAGGTTGGTTGTGTTAATGGGTGTTGTGTTTTTGTCTTGTTGTGTGATTGTTGTGGGGCTGTTCGACTGTTTTTCGTTATGTGTAGATATGTGTTGAGTTGTTGTGCTCCGTTGCTGCGTGGCTCTGTGATGGTTTGTGTTGTTGTTTATTGTGTTGTTTTTTATTGATTAACAATTGGAATGAAAATTGTCGTGACGTTTGCTGTATATTCATCGTTAGTAATCAAAATGATGAATTTTACTGGTAGAAATTGTTGTGGAAATTTAGTGACAATTGCACGGATAATAAATATAATGACGATTTTAACCTTGATGGATAAGACACATAAGTGTGAACATTAACGTCATTATTTGACGCTTGACATTTTTAAAAATTGTTTTGAATATTTGTGCGAATGGAAAAGGCTAAATTTTCAGTATCATTTGCTCAATCTATTTTCCAATTAACGCGTGCTAAACTTTTTGATAACATATTACAGTACTGTTATTGTTGGTTAATATTCTGTTGAAGTGTAATAATTTTCGTCTGCGCACCTTAGATGTCAGAAAAGTTATATACTCCCAGACGATATCCGGTTTAACGTTTGCCGTGTTTGGCGGGCAGCCCATGGTCATTCTGCTGACGACGGCTCCACTGGCCATCTACACTAAGGGTTTTGATTTATTTTTATGGTTAAATTTTACTCAAAATTCTCAAAGAATTATTAAAATAAAAAATATTGTGACATGTTGTTATTAATTAAAATATCATCTGCAGATGACTCAGTATATATTTAAGAAGAGAATTTTTTTTCTATTTCAGCTGTTACTCAACAGATATAATCATTAAAAAAATTAAATTCATTTTAAAAAAATTTGGCATAATTAAAAAGATTTCGAATGGGCTTGAACAGTTGATGAGCTGCTGAGGCGATGAATGATGAAGATTGATGAATCAATGTAAAAGTAGCTAATTAAATAAACGAATGCAAAAACATGAGCGCTGAGAATGACGGATCGGAGGTCGCAATGAATGACTGATTGTTTGATGAATTTTTTGCCTGAACAATCTACTTACTAGCAATGAATGTTACAATGTTACATTCCGTGCCAGCCTCATGTACGTTCATTTTCCAAATTGAACAGCTGACCAGCCAGGCTCGCACGCATATTATCCGAATGAATGATTGTCTGGTGATGTTATTGAAAAATATGTTGATAATCATTGAATGATTCTTTATAATGTGCCCGATTCATATATATTTTTTAATTTTTATTAGTGAAACTTGTTTGCAATGTTCAATTTCGATCAATCTTATTCAACATAACTTTAAAATCGCAAACGAATTAAATGATCATACCAAACTTATTGAAACTCTTTAATTACTCCATTTAAAAAAATGTCCGAAGATATACAATAAATTCAATACTGAACAAGAATAAAGACTGGCAAACAAATAGTATAAAGCTTTTTATTCAACTGTTGCCAAGAACATTAAAATAAAAATATCAACACGTTTTCGCATAACTCATCCTAATTTTTTAGCATCACGATGATCAATTAATAGATGTGTTTGTTACACAAATGTACACTTAAATTTACTTTTTCAGTAATTTTCAACATTTGCGAAGACTTGAAGTTGGACTTTGCGGGCATGTTTGCCTGCACTGGACTCTGGAACTCCTTCTTCTTGCTTATATACGCTTTCACGGACGCCAGCAAGTTAATGCGTTGGTGCACACGGTTCGTTTCTATGTTGTGAGGTTCTAGTTATTTTGGCTGTTTGTGAGAATGAGCGTACAACGTACTTGACTTATTTTTCACTTTTGTATATGAGGGATAGCCTATACTGTCACGCACTATCTTCATTAAAACATGTCCATGAGAAGTAAAGATTTTCAAAATTCTTTCCAGTTCTCTTCAGCTGTTGGGCTAAAAATTATCTGAATTCGACTTTTTGTACTTAATGTTTCGACTGCGACTCTTGCAAAAACCTTAACTATTTTCACTTTCTTAGTGATGTTTGATGAGTTTAACAAAGACGTATCGATAGGTATGTTAAAAATGATTTATTTCTTATGTTTACAGATCAACTGAAGAGATTTTTGCTCTGTTCATATCACTGGCATTGGCTGTGGATGCCTTCAGAAACGTTTTTTACGGTCAGCTTCTTAACATTATTAATAATGTTGCAATAGTAAAGGCAAAATAAATTTATTTTTCGTTACAAAAGATTTTTTAATGTCGATCTATATTCACTAACATGTAAATATACTATCAAAGAAACAATTATATGAATAACATTTACTTGGTTCTTTAAAACATTCCTGGCCATATATTTCAATCGTGCGACAGACTTCAGGATCAACTACCACTCTCCAGCATGCTACAAGAACCAATCCATCCCGTCCTCTCCATCGCTATCTTCTTCTTCGTCTTCCTCCTCATCCTCAACTGCACTCCTCAACAACAGTTTGGCAACCGCCATACTGGGCAGCAACAATTTGGAAAATAACAAAACGATTTTTGGTTCGCTTCCTATTTAATTTTTATAGACTACTTTTTATATATATGATATGTTTATGATATATGTTATGTTATATGTATGATATGTTTATGATATATGTTATATATGTTATGTTATATATATGATATGTTTATGATATATGTTATATATGTTATGTTATATATATGATATGTTTATGATATATGTTATATATGTTATGTTATATATATGATATGTTTATGATATATGTTATGTTATATATATGATATGTTTATGATAGTTTTTAAAGGCACGTTAAACGTGTGTAGGTCATGAAATAAAAGTATTATTACAAATGTGTATCGCCATATTAAAATTATTAACATCAAATTAAGCTTAAATTCACGAAATTGAGTAGAGGCAGGCGGAAAGCTGCTGGCGTATGCGAGTGAATGTTCCCGGGAGAACAGCTTGCTGTATTTGTTGTTGATGCTCGGTACGGCCTGGCTCGGTCTTTCGCTCTACAACTTTACGAAAACGTAACCAGTGTTTCATTTTATTTTTTTTTTTTATTGAAGAACAAAATACAGTTAATGACATCTGCATGGTTATTTATTATTGTCGTGCTTCAACATTTCACTTTTTTAGGCTGGATTAGAATAGATTTGAATGTTTTTCTGTTTACATCAAGCTAAATTTTTATAATGCAAATTTAAACAATTATTTAGATAAGATGGAGTTTTTGGATGAAGTTTTGAAAATATTTAAAATGTGTTTCGAATAAAATTCGCTCAGGCCTTTCTTGAATGCCAGCAAGCGTGAGTTGATGGCCGACTGTGCCCTGCCTGTCTCAGTTCTTCTCATGTCCTTCTTTGGCTCCTATCTTTTCAGAGACGTTAAACGTGAGCTGACCGTCTTATTTTTTTTACGAAATTTATAAAAATTACCAGCACAATATTGAACTGAATGTCATTTTCCAACTATTAATAATTTTTCAATACATAAATGTCGAATAAAACTAAAACAATTTTCCTTCAGTTAAAAAGTTCAAGACGATAGATGGCAACATATTCACACCGGCTCCTCTCTCGAAGCTGGAATGGCCTGCCATCTTGGGAGGCATGGGTTTGGGATTCTGTCTCTCGCTCCTCTTCTTCATGGATCACTACATTGCAGGAGCCCTTGTAAATAGCACAGACAATAGGTCATACTAGAAACTTTAAAAATTGCCAAACCACTGCAATATTTTTTTTAAATATTGTTGATCTCTTTTTTTATATAAAAAAGTTGATGAATATTTTTATATGTAAAAACCCATTGCTAGATATTTCTTAATATAGACCAATTAAATATTTCATTTGTAGAGAAATAATAATGAGTTATAAATGAAAACAAAAGATTGAAGAAAGGTTCAGCTTACCACTGGGACCTCATGATTATTGGCCTCCTAAATGCTTTCCTCTCTTTCTTCGGTCTGCCATTGGTGCACGGAGCACTCCCTCACTCACCTCTGCACGTCAGAGCAATGGCGGACGTGGAAGATAGAGTTTATCAGGGACATGTTTATCTGAAGTTGGCATCTTTTGTAATTGTTGCTTCGTATGTCACAATCCAATTCAGTTTGTGTAAAAAACGAATGTGCTTAATTTGGAATGGTACCTTTGAATTTTTCCCAATCATTAATAACCGATTTTCTTAACCTCACATCGTGCACAGAATCATCAAAGCACGTGAGACTCGAGTGACGGGCATCTGTTCGCACATCCTCATTGGCCTGTCACTTTTTTACATAGAGGAGTTGAAGAAAATACCTCGACCAGTACTTGATGGACTCTTTTTGTATCTTGCTATCACTGCTCTGCACAGCAATCAACTGTTTGAAAGAATTATGCTTATGTTTACAGAACAGGTGGAGATAATGTTTAGCAGCATTATTAATTAGAGGTGGACTAATGGAGAGCAAAATGAGATTTTCTATGTGAGTGGGGATGATTTTCATTTTGTATGAAAACAAAAATGTCTTAATGGAAGACGAAAATGATGAGAATGAATTATTTTCGAATGGCAAAAATTTTAAGAATTCAAATTTACACATTTACATTTATTATAAAAAAATATATAAACTTTTTTCGACCATGCGCTACTCCGGACTGTCAACCAGTAGCTATTTAACGTGTATCATAAATTGATAGTTGTTTTTGAAACATCGATTTTTAAAATAATAGTTTCCATCCAACTTTTTGACAAAAAATGAGCCAACTAACTATCTAACTGAGGTAGGCGTAAGTTGCATGCCAAAGGTTCATGTTAATTTTTTACAACATGCAAAAATAGCTTTCGATAAATTAAAAATAATGTTATAATTGAGAGGAAACTGTAGAAAATGCAAATGCTTAATGAAAAATTTGCATAAAAAGACAATACTTTAGTTAACGGCATGATTGCAAACAGGAAGGAAGTGGGAAGGGTATATGAGGATGGACAAGAGTTGGAGTTACTAGGCTGACCACATCCACCTCTATGCAAATTTTAAATGTTCATGCCATGTTTATGTTATTTGTTTAATGAATGAAAATCGAAAACTAAGATAAAGTATTCTTTAATGTCGGATTAATTCAACGATTTCGAATTAAATAATTTCACAATAAACACCACAATAAACACAATATTTCCTGCGACCATCAGGCAGCTTACCCACCGAACCACTACATCCGCACGGTTCCTCAAAGGAAGGTTCACCTCTTCACATTACTTCAACTTTTGCAACTTGCAGTTCTTTGTGGGTTTGGTTTTTCCTCCATACCGTACCTAAAAATGGTTTTCCCTATTTTACATCTGGTTATGCTTCCAATAAGGTTACTAATTAGTACGATATGATATAAATAATGATCAGTATAAAAATTTTAAATTCTAAAATATATTAAAACGATTTTGAAATGATTTTGCAGACATAAGCTGGTGCCATATTTAATAGAGAAAAAATATCTGCAATCGTTGGATGGGCATTGAGGCGAACCCCAGACTCAATAACGTCAATCACATATTCGTCATCATCGTTATTAACGAAAATAACATTTTTAAATTATTACGCTTCTAATATCTCAAAATCATTAAAAAATAATTTCATTTAAGTATTGAGATATCTGAACTGAACACGATCAGAGCTTTGTTGTCACAACGAAATAATGAATAATGCAAAATCAAGCAAGCAATAAGGAAGCCATCAATCGATGATCGTTTTTCTAAATGTTTTTGCTTAGATAACTTTTAAATAAATTTATAACGTTATATTATTTAATAGAATAGAGCAACAATTTTTAAGATTTTTTTTACTAAATAAGACGAAATTATTTCTTCTTTTGTTTTCACTTTTAATTAATAAAAAGCGTAGAAATTTTCAATCTAATTTTTGCAAAGATTAACGACTCTCTTTCACTTGATGTACACTTTTGAATTTTACAATTAACATATTGATATTCACACATAATTTTTTGCCTGAACTTAATAAAATTTTTCAAACATCACATTTTTGAATTTAACTTGGTTGCTGAACGTGAATGGCCAAATATATAGAAACAGTTCGGACACGATTGATCAGTTCTGAATTATTTTAATACTTTTTAAGGGGCTCTTCATAAAAGAGGCCACACTGAGGCATCAAAAAGTTTGTTACACCGCAATAAAAAGGAAGGGTGGTTGTTTTATCACTTTTTTTAATTTCTATCGTGTAACTTCTTGTTTGTAGCAACCCTATCCCGACAATTCAAAGTGCTTCATTTATTCAGTGTTCATAACTTTAAGCAACCGCAAGTACATTGAATACCTGTTGGTCGAAGAGCATTGTTGCTGAAGATATTTTCTGACGAACGTATCATTATCCTAAAATAAACCACTCGGTCTTTCATTGTTTATTAAAATATAAAACTTAATTTTGTAAATAATGAAAAAGTAAAAAATTTAAACAAAACAAGAACTGAAACAGTTTCTGCATGTTTAAAAATCATTTACACACCTCAACAAGATTTAATAAATAAAAAATATTCTCGATTTATACCGCCAATCAAAGAAATAACACTTGTTAAACTTGACCATACAGCTTATTCGACTGAGAATTCGACTAATTTAGCTACCAAACTACCGATCAGTTTTAGAAACAACATATTTCCAAACACACATACGTTTATTTAAATCAACCTATTTCAAGACTTTAGCAATTTACACATCTCGTAAAATTTAAACACCACAAAAACGTGTAATACAATGTTAGATGCATGCAATTGTAACCAAAACATATCAATAATTTAAACATATTGTTGTTTTAAACAGCTATACAGGTTACAAAAGTATTTTATGACACAAGATGCATGCAAGTCATCATATTCACATGAGCATCACGAAAGGCTGGGAAAATCTTTCTCATCTGCAACATTTGGAGCAGGCGCTTCCTTTGTTTTCTTCTTTTCCATCACATCGCCATCATTTCTTCTCGATCCTCCTGGACCTCCTCTCCCACCTCGTCCTCTATTTCCTCTACGTGCATCATTGAATGTGATTCTGATAGGCACCACATTCTTAGATTTCTTCTGTGTTGCAGTCAAAAAATAATACAATTAACAACGTGACTCGATTAATGATTGAATTCAATTAACTGCTTGTGAGTGACATGAGAAAATAAAAACCAATATTACTTAAACATTATATCCAACAAATAAAATGAGCAAACACAAACCCCATCAAAGCCACTATCATCATCATCTTCCTCTTCGTATTCTTCTTCCTCATCATCCTCCTTCTTCTTAAGAACAAACATCTTGTTCCACTTGGGATCCGAACATCCTTCATTAGCCTTGCGAATGTTGAACTGAGATTTCACTCTCTTCTCATCCTCCAATTTTTTCCATTCATCTAAAGTGAGTTGCTTTTCCTCCGGTTCTTTCTTAACTTCTGCCTCACCATCGACTACTGGCTGATCAGGCAGCACATTCTCCTCCGTTGGGTCACTCCTTGAAGTTTAAAATTTCAACAATATTAATGACACTATATAATTGAAACATGAAACAAAAACAAAACAAAAGTGGATCTGATAACATTCTCATTCACTAATCAAACGAGCCTGTTAGTGTCAGTCAGATCAGAAACCCCAGCATTGTTCATGTGGTCACTGAAATGTTTACAGCATTGGTACAAAATTAACTATTCATCATACAGTAAATCACATTGTTGCTTTATAATTTCAATGCACAAGTATATTCTTTAATAATACAACAATGTGAATTAGTTTGATGGGTCTACAAAAAAGTGAAAAAAGATAGCTTTACAGGTCAAGTTTATATTTGTTGCAAAAATTAATTTTGTCTAGAAGAGGCAAATATCAAGCAACTTTTTCAAAATAAATGATGTCCCAATTTGTTAGGAAACATTGAATTTAAAAATAAAATTCATCAAAATCAATTTGTGGCTCTACATTGTTGAGAAGGCTATAATAATTAATGAATAAACACGAATACTATCGAATTTTTAGAGCAAACTAAATTATGATTTTAATGCGTAATCGATGACTCACGCAATGTCATCTTTTACAGATCCCCAATTGTGGGCACCACCTCCCTCTCTTTTTTCATGAGGTTTTAATCCACTGTTCAAATTTATATTTTAGAAAATTTTCATAACTTTATCTGAACCTCTTTTAAATTATTCAGTTGACAGAATTTGCTTTAAATTAGTGGGTGCGAAAAATGTAAATAAAAACAAACCTCTTATCGCTGCCGCTATGTCTGTCGAATTCTCTCTTCACGTTTCTATCCAGTCCATCATGACCCCCTCTGCCACCTCTGTTGTATCCACCTCTGCGATAACCACCTCTCCCTCTAAAAGGTTCATCTCTGTCAGGCCTGCATTTTAAAAATTAACATAAAATTTAATAATGTTCATATGAAATTAGAAGTAGATTAGTGTTGAACTAAGTTTAGTGTTAAAATACGTACTTTGCTTCACCTCCCCATGATTCAAAAGGCTTCGCTTCATTCATTCCACTTGAAACATTTTCTGCAAATCTAGGTGGTCTTTCAGAGAACTCTGAATATTTCAAAAAAGTAATTTTAACATTTTCCATTTCGACTTTTAAAATTTAAATAAATAACTATGACAAGTATAAGGGGCTGATAATAAACCTTAAATTTTAAAATTAAACAAGTTATGCCCAGAAAAATTCATTTTTCAAATATTAAAATTAAACAAACTAATCAAATCATTTTATATAGAGAACAAATCAAGCAGATGTATTAGTAATGAATTAACACCATTCATTTTTAAAGATTAAGCTCTGTAATTGAAAAAACCTTCTTTAATAATTTAAATAAAAGAATAAAACAAATTACAAAGCAAAATACAATAACTGAACCACACACGTAAATCATAGAAGTACAGAAAAGAAACTTCTGACAGAACTAAAGTTTAAAAGTAAAACCAAATAAATAACGTTCATTAAATAACCAAATCATAAAAAAAATTGAGAAACTTACTATTGACTTGCGGCCTGGAAGGTGATGATTTGGATGTGGCATTGTTTGTAGTTGCAACAGCCGTTCGTGCATTGCCAGGCTTGGCAGCACCCGAGTTGCTCTTTTGAAAGTTTTTATCATTCTTCGACGCAACCGTAGAGGAAATATTCTTTTTGGTCACTCCAACAGCGGGCTTCTTAGCTGTAGCGGCCGTCTTTTTCGAGAGAATCAGTTGCTCCTGAAGCTTCATCAAAGCTTCGATTGGATCGGCTTCGTTATCGTCATCTGCCTCAATAGCAGCAAATTTGTTGTTCACGTTGATTCTGTATTCCATTTTTGTATGAAATAACTTATAAACCGGCAAAATTTTTATGATGTTTAGAGATTGTCGGAATACATTTATATAGTAAAAGCGTGTTACCAAAAACAAGGTGATAATTTTCGCTGAACGGAAGTTAAGCTAAAATGGAGCCCAGATTAATAAACTTTTTTATCTATGCTTGTAAAAATTTGGAAATAATTAAAATTAACATTTTTTATTAAAGAATAAGATTTGTACATTATGTTTGTTTATTTATTTGTTTATTACATTTTAATGACGTTTCTTAAAATTATTTTTGTTAACTGTGTTTAATTAGAGAAGAATACCATGAAGCGTTAATAAAATTTATTAAATTTAATGTAAACACATATCAAATCAAGAGATATGATCGTAAATAATATTATTAAAAATCGTTAATATTTTAAAATTTTTCTTATATTTAACTTTAATCTTTCATCTTCTTCTGATTTTTACGTTTAAATAAAAATAACCAATTATTTTTATTGGGGCGGAGTGATGGTCTAATGGTTAAGGTAGCCTGGTGCTATTTCGCAGTAACCGGGTTTGATTATGACAAAAAGATCCCCACCTATCACATGCTTCGTTTCTGCTGCGTCGTTTGTGCACTTTGTTGAATCCTCTGAACTATGGAAGAGTGTAATTGACTTTTATAATTTTACTATTTATTCTGTAAAACAAACTGTCGGACGCAGAGAATGTAACAACATGCAGGGTATGAAAAGATGAAAATAAAATGTAAAATTGGAACGGATAAAATAAAATACAAAAAAATATTGTTGGGAACATGTGAGAAAATGGAGCAGTAAAATAGGTAAGTCTAAATTTTATTTAATTTTGTTTAATAACATAAAATTCAACACAAACGTATGTAATTTTGATATACGAATTGAACTATAACACTTGAACTTAATTGTGTCTTGGAATCATCTGCGTTATTGTCATCTTTCGCAATTAAATGTTTACTTTCCATAGTGCCTTTAGGTCAATTCCAGCCTAAAATTTCATGCGTTGCGGTGATTTAACAATAAAAAAAATTAAAATTACTGTAAAAGTTGGATCATGGATCATTTTGAAATTGTAAGAGAATAATGACCAAGGAAAATTAAATTTAATCAGAAATTTTAGTTTTTAGATTTGTGCAATCGTCCTAAGTCTTGTGCTCTCTGTACATAATAATTCCCTCCTATGCCCAAAAATATACAACAGGCGATTCAGCAATCCACTTTCATCAGCAAATTATTTATCTTCAATGATAATAAAACAACAGACTATCGAACAGTTTTCATTTTCAAAGGTTTATTGACATCAGCAGCAGCAATCGAAATCTTATCGTACTAAAAACACGGCCATTAACAAAACAAATATTTGTGTTTTTCTAAATAATCACGAAATAAATCGTGCTTGTTGATTGTTTTCGCTTACGAAGAAATGTCAGTACATCATTAAGAAGTTGAAGATAACACAGCACAGAAGTTGAAGATAAGAGTAATTTGACGTGCATTTAATTCATTTTTTAATTTGTTGGGGTTCAGAAGTTTGCCTCATTCAATCCAAGATACATTGTACATAAAACGAAATGCAAGTTTGTATATTGAACTTTTTAAACATAGCTTAAGTACTTATCCGAAACACAAACCTGTTGGAGCATAACAACATAACACGAGTATGCAATCAGTTTGGTTCACGGGATATCAAGTAGCACATGTTAACGAATCGTTCACGATAAACAGCCTCAGCCAGTCGGCTGTGCAACAATTTCATTTGAATAAGTGAAAAACAACAAATCTACAACGAAGCACATCTACAGCAACATTTAAACAGCACACACACAAACATCAACTTCAACAATGACAACAACACAGAAACCACGTGCACGTTATGGCCGCACAACTTCTACTTTTGTTTGCATTTCTTCCTTTTCAGTGGCACTAACTAAACTGCAGTAGCAACAAAAACCACAGCATTATAATTAGCGCCCACTCAACACATTCCTAACACGAAGAGGGCTGTTCAGTATAGAGCATTAGCGATGTTGATGGCAGCGCTGTTTTTAAAGCAACTTTTCAGTCGAAAAATTTTTCTCATTAAATAAGGAAGAATATCTATTAATTTTCTAATTAAAGAAACCTAGATTAAATGGCGTCGATTTTCTTCTATATCAGTTGATTGTTTTATTTGGTTATTTTTTGTAATTTTGCAACATTAAGTGGTTTTTTTTCATTTATTTTAAGCACATGGTTTAATTTAATTTTAGCACGATTTTTCAATTCTAACACGTGGTTTTATTTAACCGTACCACGTGGTTTTAAATTCAACTTAGGCTTTTCAGTTTTAGAACGTGGTTTATTAAACTCTAACACGTGGTTTTATTCAACTTTAGCATGTGGTTTTGTCGGTTTTAGCACGTGGTTTTATTCAATTTTAACAAGCTGTTTTATTCATCTTTTATTCAAGATGTCAGAAAATACTACTTCACCAACAGAATAGTAAATGGCTGAAATAGCTTACTTGAAGATGTGGTCAAACCAGCGAATATTACTAGCTTCAAGATAGCCTTAGATACATTTTGGCAGAGCGAATTCCACATCTGAAAATAAAATTGTCAAACCAAAATATTACTTATTGAATTATTTATTCTCAAAAACTGTTTGCATTATGGCGGAAGGGGCTCTGCCTACACTGCAAATTTATTTTATTCTATTTGGCACGTGGTTCTATTCAACCATAGCACGTGGTTTCATTTAACCTTAGCACGTGGTTTCATTCAACCTTAACACATGGTTTTATGTTGCCTTCGCAAGCGGTTTTAACTTTAATACATGAATTTATTATAAGAATGTAACATGTGTTAACTGGTGTTGCTAAAAGTTCTAACTTTTAAGAACACCAAAATCTACTACAATATTTTTGTTCGTTTTTGTTATTTTGCTGCTCCAAGTGGTTTGTTTCTAATGTATTTTTCTTTCTCCGTATTTTTCTTTATTTATTTTTTCGTTTAATTTTATACTACTGTCTTGCATGCTGCAACAGTGTCTGCGTCTGACAGATCCTGATTTTTAAAGAATAATAAAAAAATCGATCTTATTTTAAGCAAGGTTTTTATAAAGTATGAATTTATTATGTGGTTGTAACACATGTTAACAGATATTGCTAAAAGTAAAAAATAAAGTAGAATCTACGCAGAATAAAATCGTTTTCCTTTCCTTGACAATTCTACCCTTCTCTTACTTGTAACTTCATTAGTTTTATTATGGATTGATTATTGTCACCCGTTCTGCTATTGTCTTCATGCTAAATCTACGTATGCTTTTTTTGGCCCTGTTGCGGTTGCGCGGATGTATGATTGCGCTGTTGTAAGAGAACAGCAAACCAGGAAAAGCAATGCGTAGAATATAAAATCTGTAAAATCAGATTATCAACAAAATTAAAACTGTTGGGATGTTACATTTTTTTTGGTTAAACTTACGGCTCTGAGTTCTGGACAATTTCTATAGAAATGGAAAAAAAGATTAAGGCTGCTGAGATGTGGTTTTTGAGAAGAATTATGAAAGTTAGTCGGACCTCTCACACTTTGAATGAGGACGCATTCAAACAGTCAGGTTATAAAAAGAGGAAATTACTGCAGATAATCCGACGAGGGCAGTTAAAGTATTTTGGGTCACATCATGCGGAAGTAAAGAATGGAAAATCTAACAACTACTGGAAAGATTGCAGGGAAGAAAATTGCGGTGAACAACAAAAACATTAGTGAAGTCCTTGTGTCACTTATAGAATATCACCACATTTCAACTACCACAAAGCGTTAAAAATCGGGTTTTGTGGAAGTTGATGGTCGCCAATGTCCTGAAAGGATAAGGCACGAGAAAGAAAACGGAAAGAGTAGCGTTGACAACCATGAATACAAAATATTGAAACATAAAAGATGGATATGAAAAGTAATAGAAACTTGTAGGCGATTACAAACAACAAAATACAAACTACAACATACATACAAACAACAACAACAATCTAGCAAACAAAAACATACAAACAACAACATCATCGACACGAGGTAGTCAAGCAAATATTATTGCGGAAGTAAATAATACTTTTATTGGATCTCGGGCTTTAAACGAGTCAAAAATTTCTGCAACTAAAATTTTGCCTTGAAAGAGAATATTTCACGTTACTTACTAACGTGAATAATATTCTCTGATGTGATTGATCACCTCTAGTCATTTCGTGCTATCTAAAAAGGGCAAAAAACGATAAACCTGATGATTCGTAGCCGCCAACCTTCTTTTTGATGCTAGATTCACTGATGTGGTAGTTACCAACGAGAAATCCTGGCCGAAGTATGTAAGGACCGTGACTGGTCTTTCAACGACAGCAGTGATGGTGTTAAGAATTACTAATCAAATGGATATTATCAATATTTGAAAAATATTTGTACATTCAATTGAACATTGTCAATTTTAGTTGAAAAACATTCTTATTTTTATTCTTTGGACTTATATTCTATAGGGTACTAACTTAGTTAAAGACATCAAGCTTGTTTTAGTGTCATTTCATGAAAGTTTTTAAAAATGTTCACGAATAAACCAGTATAACAAAAAACATACAAACAAACAACAACATACAAACAAACAATAGAAACAAACATATATAGATATATGTATAAATAATTTCTATTTGGTATGTAGGTTAGCTAGTTTAGACATTATATTAAGTTGTGAATGCTCTTCGCTAAATCTTCATGTTACGTGAATTGTCCACCGAGAACTTCTAAGAAGTATATATAAAAATAAAGAGACAACAACATACAAACAACCCTATACAAAAAAAATAAACAAACAAATAAACAAACAAACAAACAACAACGACAAACAACAACATAAAAACAACAACTTACAAAAAACAACAAACAAACGCAAACTCACAAACACACGACATAACAACCCAATATTTTCAACCAACAGCGCACGAGCAAAACATTCATCCGATGCTAATCTAAGCACGGAGGAATTCATTTGCACATGGCACATACGAAACGAATGCACCCCTCAAGGTAACATAAAAATTATCCAAAATATTAACAACAATAATGTTGGTGTACCAAGAAAACAACAACATTAAAAATGGCAATAATTACAACAACACAAACATCAACAACATCCACATCAATAACAACGTGCACATTAGCAAAATCAACATTTTGGGCAGCTACTTAAGCTGCTTTGTTGAATAGCCGATGCAGCAATGCCTGGCTACTAAGCTGCGTTGCTAAATTTAGCTTGCACTGTAAATTATTTTACAACTCTGCACGGTTGAGATTACGTGCTGTCAACGTGGGTGGTTGTAAATAGAGAACCATTTTCTAGAGACGCACCGAATATTCGATTGACCTGGCAAATATTCGACCAAAATTTGACATTCGGTTTTGGCCATTTTTAGGCCGAGTAGCCGAATGTTGCAATTTTCGTATAAACCATCAATCACTTTTTTAAATCGCAGGACAACAATTGTTTTTTATTATTATCGGAAAATGTATTTTGTCGATTAGCTGTTGAAACATTTAAATTTGAGCAATAGTTTGAACATAATTTCGATACAGAAATGCTGGAAATACACTGTCCCTTACTGTTTTCTTCGATTACTTATTTTTCATTTTATTTTTTAAAATTGCGAGATTTTTGGCATTTGGCCTCGGGTATTATTCGGTGCATCTTTACTATTTCCTCTCGGTCACCATTAAGCTCCGAGCAAAACAATTTGAAACCCAACCGACGCAACAAACCACAATAACACCTCTGCAGCAAGTTTTTGTTAAATTTTTCAACCCACCCAACCACATCAACAATACATCCAACGTATTGATTGAAAGGTGCCAAGCATCATCAAACATTTGAAACCTGATAGTGCATTTAAACAATGTTCGTTTATTTACATGTACAAACTGTAAATACACACCTTTTGTATCGGTTCGCGCGATATGAAATTTGAGTGTTTAAGTGTATACATAATAATTTGAGTGTTTACGTACGTTTGCACGTGTAGATGTGCTATAGCGTGCGTGTGCTAGGGTGTGCGTGCTTAATGGCTATCATAAATACGCAATAAGTCTGGTCAATATTTTTTTCAAGCAACGAAATGAACGTCGAAAGTATGTGGATGTGCAAAAGAGACTAAACGTCCAAGAGATGTGATGAGATGTGATGGGATGTGATGTGATGGGATGGAATGCTATACAACACGATTATGATGCAATTAATGTGACGCCATGTTGGTCATGACGATGTGATAACGTGATTATTTGTTGTTGATGTTATCGTACTCTAAACTACACTACACGATGATGAAATGGTATGCTACTGGATGAGATATGTCGCATGAGGACATGTTATGCAGTGCGATGTAGCATTACATCATACAATTGCACGAGTGATTCTATATTATTATAATTTCATTTAATGACATGTGATGTGTTGTCTTGTTGTTGTGGAAGGTGATCAAACGTAATTTAGCGTGTTGGATGATGGGAGACTGCGCCTCGTCTAGCTACAAGAGTGTTGCCTGCAGTGATGAGCCGGCAAAAAGACGGCTGCGTTCATGCGATATGCGAAGATGATAAAAATGATTCAATGACATGAATAGGGACCAGACGAGGCGATGAGTATGGTATAATTGCATGAATATGGTCGGGTAAAATTTGACAGCATGTAGAAAAGGAACATACCATCGCCTGGCTTTTGGCGTCTACCAGATAGACCATATATATTATCATAAGAATTGATATATAGGATAAGCAATCACTCGGGTCAGTACTTTTCAAGGGTTGACATCGTTTTGTGAATCAGTTTAATGCGAAGCGACTGCTCTGTAAATTTATGACTGAAAGAGAAATGTTTCAAAAGATTTTTAAATAAAATAAAAATTTTGTATAAATAACATTATACAAATAATCAAACCTTATTTGTTAACGTACAATAATGTGGTTCAGATTACTCGCATTAGTGTTTGGTGCTTTCCAATGTTTAATAACCCACACATTTCATCTGATTCATTTCAATATTATCTTTAACTTGCTGCACATAATTTATTTCTTTTAACAACCAATCAAATGTTTTTCAAAATAACATCGGAGTTATTTTATTGCATATTATAGTATTACAAGAACGTACAACAATCTTTAATGGTTTCATCCTTTAAATGATATTATTATTTTTGTAGTTATTAAATTTAACAACAACTTTAAAATAACGAACGTTATTTATTTCTTCGAATGGAATGATATAGCGAGGTATTGCAAGTAGTTGGTTGCATACATGTCATTAGGCAAGGCTGTAAAGCATTGAGTGGTGGAACCTTCCTCAATTAGTCGTTATACAGCATCTTGCACGCTAACAATTACTTCGCTGCCCCACGTTTTATGAAACATTCGCAGAAAGACAGAGTACAGACAGACAGACAGACCTCATGTATCACATTCACGGCAGAAGGCACAGTCATTTAGAAGTTCATGTTGTAGAAACTGTATTGCTTCGTGTTGTTAGATTTCATTGTTTTATAATGTTATGTAATGTTATATAATGACATATAATGTCATATATAATGGAATATAATGTTAATTAGTGTTATTTAATGTTTTATAACGTTATTTGATACTCTATTGATGTTATATAATGTTAATTAATGTTACTTAACGTTATTTAATGTAATATAATGTAGCAGTGATGAGTAAGGAGCAATAGGAGGTACGAGCTGGAAAATGATGGCAGTAACAAATAACCAAAGCGCTTGATAAATGATCTTATTAAGAAGTTTTTTTATTACGGAAATTTCTTGAATTTATATTCGTGTGTACGTAAATGTATGATGGTAAATCATATGAAAAAATTTTGTAAGTGTTTGCCAATGTTATTGCATACCACTTACCATTCATAAATGCATTCATATGAATGTTCACTCATTCATTCATTCATTTCACCGTTCATTCGCATTTATATTCCAATGTTCTTTCAAGAACAAGTGATTATAAAATAAAAAAAAACCTATATACTCATTCCTAATCGTTTAATCAACATTATCACATACATCACACAAAAACTTTAATTCGATCGCTGGACATTAACTTAACACAATCAAAAAAAACATTCACAAACACATGCCGATGTTTTATTTGAGCAAACAATATACAACAAATTATACAAACAAAAATTTTTTCTCTCTCTCTCTCTTTCTGTCTGTCTCTTTTTTTCTGTTTCTCTTTCCCTTTCTCTCTCTCTCTCTCTCTCTCTCTCTCTATATATATATATATATATATATATATATATATAATATGAGTTAACATTCATACGTTTGATATTCCATATATGTCAGTAAGTATGTATGACTTGCTGCAAGCAAATGTTGCCTAAGTGGCCAGAATATAAAAGCGTGGTTGCATGCTGTGATGTGTTGGACGTGCAGTTGATGTTGATGTTGTTGATGTTGATGTTGTTGATTTTGATTTTGATGTTGTTAGTGTTGGTAGTCGTAGAACTTAATAAAGTCGTCTGTAGTTGAAGTTAGGTCGTTGAATGCGTTCTAAAATGTATAGCATCTTTCTTTAATCGTACAGGCCTTAGACAATAATATAAAATAAATAATGCGTTATTTGTTTCTAAGGCGAGCTTGATAAATCCCTGTGTGATGCAGTATAAATCAAAACGTTATTTATACATTTGTATACATAACAATACAAAGTACATAAACGTATTTGATGATAATAATTGTGATTAAAATTTAATACACGGTTTTAAATAATTACACATGAAAGCTTGAAAATTTCATAAAAATTATTAGTTTTTTTTTGTGATATGTTGTTCGCCGTGGAAGTTAATGAGGCTCGTTATGGCAGGATTATTGTTAAATGTTGTAACAAATTCGGCGACTTGAAGGAATGGAAGAAGAAAGAATTTTGCTGGATTTGTTACGGTCGATAAATTCATAAATAAATTGCGTCGATTTTTCTGTTCATATATGTGGGTGGATGTAATTTTTTTTATATGTTTCATTTTTTTATTCAAACAAATGTTTGGTGAATATTTTCGTGGAATAAAATTATTTCTGAACGTTACGGAGAATCGAATTTGAAAATGGATCCCAGCATTGTTGGAGCATTCTGTTCGAATCGTTGAATACACAGTGACAGATTATAATAATGAAATAAACAAAGTTCATGCTAATTAGTGTTCGATACTGTTTTTAAAAAATATTAGGTCTTGAAATGTTGATCACTAAATCGTTGGTGAAAAATTATTGTTGATTTGTCGTAAAGTTGAAGTTATCATAGTTGCAAAAATATTATTGCAAATAGATTGCGATACAGTTCATACAACATTGAATCACATATTTGGAGATGACACAAGATTATTGTGTAAAACTTGGTTATTTTCTACCCAAAATTTTGAACGCAATCTAATAAATTTTTTCAGAAAGGGAAAATAAATAACTTTAACTATAATGTTATACAGTGTTTTAATTTATATGTTCGAAAAAATGAACTAATTGATTTGTTGAAAAACCATGTTCACAGCGGGACGAATATTGAACTCTCAAAAATCGTGCACGTCGTTGAGGAGGGCCACTGCATCGACCACAGGTGGTGGTGGTGGTGGTGGTCTGACGTCACCACTCATCCTATCATCACCATCATCCATTTCTCGGAGGAACAGGAGCACAAAAATAAACATTGATAATATAAACAAATATCGCTGTTTCGTGCCGTTCGTCTGGCAGGCCTTCATTATTAGCATCTTCGGCTGCTTGGTTCTCATCCTGGGAGTGGCGCTATGCATTGTTGGCTTCTACGCAGGGTTCGGAAAAAACGAGGACGAAAGTTACAATGAAAGTAGAGCACTGAACCAGGTTGACGATGTGGAGGGCAATGAAAACGACAACCTCGATTTTTTCACCCTCGTCACACACAGCGATTCCTCAGGAAAACAGAGTACTCAACAAAATTATTACGACACGAATTTTGACGACAACGCAACAAACGACGCCAACTACGTCCACAGTGAACCAACACATTTCACTCGCTACTTCACCAGCAACAATTATACCGCCACAAGCAGTCTCAAAAGTCTTCCGAATGAGTCCGATAGTGGCAGCAGTGGGCGATATTTGATGAAATATTTTTCCTACATCGGTCCTGTGATTATGAGTGTCGGCAGTTTCTCTCTGGTGTTTGCGTGCGTCCTCGTCTGCGAGACAAGAGATAAAGTTTTAAAGAAACTTCAGGTAGAAGCGATTAAGGAAAGAAAATTAACAATGAAGAAATCGTTAGTCCGCAGAGAATCTGTCCAACAATTCATTGAATACAACGAAACAAACCACAACAACAACAACAACAACAATGATGATGATGATATCTTTGACGATCCTAACAACAACATTGACAACGTTTGCAGCAGCAACAACAACGCAATAAACACGAGCAAAAGAAACAAACAGAAGCGTGCAAATTATGCTGGAAACGCTGAAGGGGATGATTTGACGAATGAGATTGTATTTAAAAAGTCCAAACTGAAATGTCTCTACTATCCAATGAGGAGATTAAGCCTGAGTATGCTGGGAGATAATGAGTTGGTAATTAAATTGGAAGATGACGATGAAGATGGTGATGCTGATGACGATGACGTCCACGGCAAAAATGCTCTAAGCACTAGCGATAAAAAAGAAAAACGTAATCATAAAAATGTAATGAACAAGATAAAAGCAGTTTCCACTTTCATCAATAAAAGCATTCACAACAGCAATGAAAACAAAAACAAACACTCTGATAAAGACTGCAGCAACAAAAAACACGGCAAAGATAACAACTACAACAAAATCAAATCAAGAAATAAAAGCAGTCAAAAAATTTCCAACATCAGTAGTATTGAAGATTCTTGCAATGTGAACCAGGCGGCAATCTCAACAATAAGCAACAACAACCATCAGCCAGACAACTTTTTTGATGGAATATACGACATCGGCCACGTCCACACTGACTACTGTGGTCTCGATCGCAGCTGCAATAGCAACAATTTAGATAAACGTATTAGTATCAATAATAATAATAATGTCAATAACGACATTTTCAATCAACAACTGCACAGTGCATGCAGAAGTAAAGCAAGGGTGCATGATTGGAGCCAAGAAATTGATTTAGAGAGGCATGTTTTCAAAGATATCATGCTGAGCAGCGTACATCATAATAATCGTGGCCAGAGGCTTTCAAACAATAACAACGTGCACACTTCGTTAAACAACAGCACCGTAAACATCATCACCACCAACAGCAACATCAACAAAGGCAATATTGATAACAACTACAACAACAATCGCGGTATTACGAGCCATTTGCATCTCAGTGACGATCACGGCTGCGTGGAATCTTTTGAGAGAAACATTCAAGTCGGCTGCAGAACGGCTTGCAGCGATGCCAATTATTCGAGCAATATTTTAAAAACGTCTACAGCAACAACAACTTTAAACACCTTATTACTTCTCACCACGTCAACAATTTCAACACAGACAACTACACCTTCAAACAGCACAACAGTATTAAACAGAGCAGCAACGACAGAAGTGGTTTTGCAAGAGACTGTCACCCCAGCAATAACAAAATTAAACACTAGTGTATCAAAAGATCAAATTATCTTGCCATTTTATTTGTCCTCATTATCACCTTTCTCTTTCAAACCATCCACAACAACTTTGCAGCACACCGTCCCATCAACAACAACAAAAGTGTCAGCAACCGCAAGGCCACCACCATCAACCGTTGTATTCTCATCAACATTTCCAACGACATCAGTAGCAACTGCAATAACATTGTTCGCAACATCTATAAATGCATCGTCAACAACATTCACAAAATCATCAACATCTACTATATCCTCTGTAACAACAACAACAACAAGGCCGCCCCAAACAACAACAACAATCATGACAACAACAAGAAGAGATTTCCTCCACAGCGTTATGACGTCATCATCCGAAAGAAGGAACTTGAAAGAGGAGGCCATAAAAACGTTAGAGGCAGATTTTGACGACGACAATCATTTTAGTGGTTGCATTCGTCGTCTGGATGAATATCGCAATGTTGGTCATCATCGTCCCAATTGCGATCAGCATTTTTCATCTGAGGATAAAATGAGTTCACAACATTGTTTCACGAAGCACCACCACCAACAACAACAACAGCAACAACAGCAGCAGCAGCAGCAACAACAGCCTCAATCTCAACAACACAGTCAAAAACAACAAAACAATATCCTTCGTCCAAAAGAGTTATTTCAATTTCAACAAAACCTTCAGGAGCATCATCATGACCACCAGCCTCATCGCCATCATCATCATCCTCATCTTTCCACTTTCCATCCTTGCTATCCTATCCATCATACTCAGCTGAAAAATAACGTCAACGCCGGCGATCGTCACCATGACGAAGATCATCATCAAGATGACAATCATCATCATCATCGTCATCGTCATCATCATCTTCATTCCTCATCCTTTCTTCTGCCCATATTCAATAATAACAACATCCATCACCTTTCAACTCCACATTTCTACACAAGCATCACAACGTCATCACCATCATCACCACCACCATCATCAGCAGCAGCAGCATCAACATCGCCATTCTTGTCTGCTTTTCCAAAATCACCATTGTTCCTGCCATCATTATCAACACTATCAGCAACAACATCGCCAACATTTTTACCATCAACAACAACATCATCGTTATTGTCAAGAAGAGTATCATCACCATCATCATTGCTAGCAACGACAACAATAACAACAGCAACAACATCAAAATTTACTTCATCAGCACCAAAACCAGCATCATCATCATCGCCATCACGAACGACATCATCATCAACACCGACATCGTCAACGTCACAGTCAGTTACTACTTCCGGTGGATTCGCCATTTTGAAACTTCGTCGTTTCAGTGATGTATTCGTTTGATATGCGTCTGAAGAATAAATTGAACGTGAGTTATGTTATGGAGAGCACGTGCCTCGTTAAACTCAACATAATTGTACGAACTTGCACATGTTCATGCGTGCGCGTACGCTTCTGTACACATTAACACGTGCATGTATGTGTACAACCCGCTACTCTGCATATACAGAAGTAATCAGACTTAACTCATAAACATGTTGCAGAGGCAAAAATTGAGATTAACCTGGGTAACAATACTTTTTATTTGTGTGCACGCAAATTTAGTGTAATTTTTCAAAATATAATTTGTGTATGTATGTATGTTTAAGTTTAGAAAATTTGTATAAAATAAACTGCCCCCACACGCAAACATGCACGTTCGCGGTTATGTGTATAACATGTTTACGGTTGCACATGCAAATTTATGCATCTAATAAAATTGTACATACATAAGCCCTACCTACTTACATAAATATGCGTTACTACTGTAAGTATGGATTCAAACGTAATTATGTACACTCAAAAGTAATGTCATCAGCGCTGTTATGTTTGTAACGTAATTGTTAGAACTTTTCATACTCTTATCATCGTAACTCTATTCAACTTACAAACTACAGGACTGAAATTTTTATGATTTCCAATAAATATTTTATCGTAGATAATCTAGATGATTGTTGTTTATTTGCGTTATTTGCAGACATACAAACACACACACACACACAACAACGACAACAACAACACATAATACGCACAAACATACAAACACACGCACAAAAACACATAATACACATAAACATACAAACATGCACACATACACAACACATAATACACACAAACATATAAACATGCACACACACACAACATACACATATTACGAATGGAGACAAGAAAAAACTTAGATAGCTAGATAGCGAAAGTGAGTTATTTTTTGTATCTTCTTCAATGGCTATACTTTCTTAAATACATCATGTTTGTAGACGGATCTTATAGCTTCCCTTTGCTAATCCATGATGTCAGACGTAGATTGTTGTACAGTTCTGAAATGAAAGAAGTAAAATGTTGATGAGATTGTTGTAAAAAGACATTCTTATGTTAATTTAAATAACTTGATACACTGTTGACTGAATATCATCACTTATTAGTGCGGTCGTTTCGTGTTGTTCCATTTCGGGCATCCAGCGAAAACAGAAATTTGTCCTCAATTACAAATTTTGACACTTTTCACTTTTTTCCTGTTTTTCAACTCCATGCTGTGATTAAATATAAATAAAACATTAAAAAAAATTGAAATTTTTTATATAAAAACTTATCAATTTATTTGTTTCTGTTTAGTTTTTTTTTTCAAGTTTCCACAAAGCAAGCAGCCTTCATAAGTTTTTTTCAATCTTATAAACTCTCCGTGAAGCTTTTAAGTTCGCATCTCCAAATTATTGTGCACCTGGCAACGGACAGCATCAAACCACTAAGGAGGTTTCCATCCATTAACAACATCCGTCTATTTGGTTTAATGCACAGGCTTTCTAGCGATGATCAAACAAACTTTATCAAACTTTCATGGACTTTGTAATTTTATTCATTTTTGTTTTAAAATTTTCATACATGTGAATATTTAATACAAACTAATTGAATAGTTTACTTGAATTTTTTTTAAATGATGACAAACTTGAAAACAAATGCGTTGAGGAAAATAAGTGAGAAATATTTGCATAAGAAGTAATCAAATTTTTCAGCAAATAAGTCTGCAAACCCTACGGCTAAAGAAACATTTGTTTCCATGGAACATATTTTTTATTGCGCAAGTTATAAATGTAAAAAAATGTTTAAACATCTAATAAAATAAATTTTAAATTTATTTTCTGATTGATCATTCTAATTCGCATAAGCGCAAATTATTTCAAATTCATTTCATTCTAATATTAAACTAAACTTCTAAAGTTCTTAAATTCACTTGATCCAATAAAAGAGTTTACGAGCCATTGAAACTTCAATAAAGTTGCACAGATGACCTGTTGGATTCATATCTGCAGCTGTGTGGGCGAACTCGCGCTTACATCATCAACAACAAATCATCTCGCAAAGTGGCGATGCTGCAACACGCAATTCTCTCAGCTGCTTGGAATTGAAGAATGCAGTTCATAAAGAACGAAACTGCTGCTTGAACTACACTTTCTTGCATCGACCACATAAACAATGTGTGTGCGTGGTGTGGTGTGGTGTGTGTGTGTGTGTGTGTGTGTGTGTGTTCATTCAACTGCATCACACCAAGAGTAAGATATCCCCATCATCCAATCCTCCGAGTTTCAATTCAAAATTTTTAACGCATAGAGAAATTTACTTTTGTGGTTTTCAATTTTCAATGTCCAGAAATCTAACAATGAATAATTATAAAAAAATGTTCAGTGTAAGTGAAATTTGAAGAAACGTTTTTTTAGAAAATATGCACGCACAAAGAAAGATAATCTCTAGTTAGGAAAGAAGTAGCCAGCATGAAACAGAGGAGGCGGGGTCAGAGTTGATGCAGTGATAACAAGGAGTATTGATTGGCAGTTTGAGCGGCTTAGTACGTCGTCATGATAGCATAGGGTTCAACTCTTAATTACTCTGAGATGCGAGGCTCTTGATGACGAAATCCTTTGCAGTCGTGCAGATAGTTGGTGGAATAGTATCTGTGTTGGGAATGATGGGTGCTCGCTTGTTGCGCCCATACTCCTCCAAGAGGTACATTTTTGTTCTGCACTTTCTTGTTTCTAAGTTTGAAACAAATGGAAGCAACCAAATATTTAGTATCATCATTACTTTTTATCTTTTCAATGATAACAACGTTGTTCACTGAATATCCATGTCGTCTTCATAACAACATCATAGTGACATCATCATCTTCGTTGGGATTGCAACGCAGTTCGATTTATTGCTGGAAGCAGCATCCATTTATTCACACACGACTTAATTTGTTTAAAATATTTTGATAATTATCTTTATGGCGGAACCCCTGCAGCTGTTTTAAATGAATTCAACCACATTAAAAGTCAGATTTTATCCATACAGAATCAAAATTAGAAGCCCATCCAACCTCCCAGGTTCATCAGAACAACAGCCTGTTGCAACTTTATTACATAAAAAAGCAGAAAACGTGCTCCGCTATTTATTCTCGTATTACGGAACTAAACTAATTTAGCGAAGGACATAAATAACAAGCCTCTGGGTACAGATTCAATTTATGTTTTTTCTTCTCTAATGTACAAACACTCGTCAAACTTCAGCCTTGTTTAAAATCTATTTTTGTTTATAGTGAAATCTTCAACTGTTTTTTTGCGTATGGTTATTGTACAAAAGTTAATATATTATTGAAATTTTTTATAAAAACTCATGTGGAGTGCGTTGATGCCCTGGTTCCTAAATATTTGTTCCCGTCACTTATGCTTGATAAAAACGGCACGCACCTCGGCATCTTTTGCTCTTGTTCTTTATTGCCTGTTTTTTTAATGAATTTAAATCTAACTTTTTACAACTCTCATTAAGTTTAATGTAATTGTAGCGATTCATAATTTGAAAATTGTCCAACCTGTCCAACCAAACTGAAAACTAACCAAAATAAAATGAATTTTTAAGTGAAATTTTCATCAGAGCAACACGTTTGAATATTTAATGCAAATGGTTTAGTTGCATTAAATATGTAAATGCGTAAATGGGTTTCAAAATTGAAATTTTGACTGCCTATCGTTGAATTTTGCTGCGTAGAAACACAATTTGTGCTACGGACAAGAGACCATTATGATATTGAGTCAAAGTGCGTAATGTTCATTTTTATTAGTTCATGTTAATATGAATGAAATTTTGGCAAAACAAATTTATTTAGACAAATGTGTTTAAAAATATTATATTGAATTAATTACACTGAGTATACTCCATCGAATTTGCATGAGAATTTTAAAAACAACCCGGTGCTAAAAAATAGATACCTTCCCGGCTGAAAAGGCTTCAGTTATTGAGATGGATGTGCACAGGACCTGAGCAGGACGTTGCGTATTAAGGGATCATTACAACGATATGCGCACGACAGCTGGATGAAAGCGCGTACATCTATGCATATGACGCAACCATGTTCAGCTGATCTCTTCCTTAGGAGTTCTTGTCATGTGTAATTAATAATTAATGTATATGGTTCACAGAACGTACAAATTAAAGTACACGTTGTATTTATCAACAAAATTAGGTTGCTGAGCAGCTAGATAAGAGCAACCAAATTAATTACTAATTTGTAACTACAACTGAACCGCACATCCCTATTTTATTTTCTAATCACGTCATACACCGGCATGGGTTAAACCACAAAGCACCAATTTCTTTATTTTCTTAAATAATTACAACAACAACTAATCAAACTAGACTAGCTGGTTTTCGTAAATGCACACTCATCGGATGAAGAAGTACAAAAAAAATGTTACCAGTACAAACTCACAATTATTGAGCAAGTGGCTGATGCAGAATGGCCGACGAAATTTCAGATCACTTCTTACGTTCTTTTTATAAACCCAGCAAGAACATTTCTGTAGATGACTTAAAACTCGTTGTATATTTTCAAATCATTGATGCAATGTTCATTTAGTTGAATCTAAATTTTATTTAGATAACATAATAATAATAACTTTTGAGGTTCATGAACGGTAGCATGATAACGCGCCAAAGTTTTAAAAAAGATTTGTAAAAATGCTCTAAGCTCAATTGATTATTTTTTGTATAGTATTTTTTTCCCATTAGAGATTTAACTCAGTCAAATATGATTTTTATCTTAAACATGTAAACTACAAAAAACCTTTTTGCAATGTTTTGCAAATGAGAAGGATCGCGTCTGCCAAGCTTTAACAATTTTCACGCAATTTTCACACAACACCGCTAGGGCCCATATCTGAGTGCATTACCGTTTGTTAGGCTTTGTTGAATCAAATTCGGCCGTTCAGTGCTTGCGTCTAACATTCAAATCTCATCTTATCATGTAAAGCTTACATTTCTTTTTAATGTGAGGTCGCTTCAAGAGTTAGATGAGATGAACTGGTGTTAACAGTTTGATAGTATTAATAAGTTAAGAGTGTGGTGGTATGAAACATAACAACATAGGAAACATTCATTCGTGTACTTTAGAATCGTTCAGCAACAAAAAATATCATAAATAGTAAAAATTTTATGCTGCACAGCCTGACATTAACCTCCGCGTCTGAATTACATTTGTCCACGATATTAGAAAAAACAAGCAGAAAGTTCACCAAACAACTGTGTACAAAAAGGTCAACAATAATAAAATAGAGGTGCACCAAATGGTAAATTTACTGTTAGAGTTACTGTTTGACATAAGCCAAAGGCCGAATACCCAAATTGAAGTACGTCATTTTAAAGCTTCGACGTCATAGAAGATTTAAAAATATTTGTTCCTTCATTTTAGAGAAAAAAGTTTTAATTTCTATTCCTTTTATGAAATTTTTTCGCCCTAACCAAAACTTATTTAAACAAAATTTCCAGCCGATTGGTTCAGTAGTTATTATATAAAATCATTTTCAAACTGAATCTCGTTCAAGATAAATTATCAATTCATATTTGTGTACTTATTTTTGCATCAAGTCAAAAAGACAAGCAGACCCTTGAATTTTATAAGTGCATATAAGAGCAGATCTGATTATTAGGATTTATGAACACTCGTTAACGTAATGAATGTTTTATGGTTTTGTTTGTGAGTGTAGTTTTTGTATTAATTTGTTTTTTTGCAAAATTTCTATTGATTTTGTTGCAATCGGTTGACAGAATCTAACTTGCTCTTTTTAGAATTAATGTTCAAACTTTACTTACTTTAAATGTGAAATCATTCTTTGTTAAATTGTTGTGACGTTTATGTGTAACTCCATCTTTATGTGCTGCATATTTTTTGAGTAATCAAGTAAATAAATATTAAACATATATGCCTAACGGAACTGATTAATCCTTCCACCATCTACCAGATGTTAACAATTGTAAACATCCTACCAGTGTGTTGCAGTCGGGTGAAAAATATCCGACTCCGACTCTTTAAAAAATTCCGACTCCGGTTCCGACTCCCGAAAAATTTTTTAACTTTTGGATCATAATTTTACCTTATTAACACTTATAAATAAAAATATTTTAAAAACACTTGAAATCAGTCAATATAGTCATTTTTCTTAGTAAAATTACTTTATTTTTTATGTTTAACAACATATTGAAAAAAAGTTATGTAATTTTATCCCCCTTATTAGCATTTATTTTCAGTACTAAAGATGATTGCTTATCACTACATACATTTATTCTCTAAAAAAAACACAATCTTAAACAAATTTTCGAGAAAAAAGTAATTTTAAAAAAATGAACATTTTCCGGAGTAGGAGTCGGATAAAAAACCCGACCCCGGCCCTTCAAAAAAATTCGACTCCGCGAAAATCTCTGACTCCGACACTCTGCATTCTACCATCCGTTCTAGAGCTGAATGATCGATCAGCCGAACATAAAACGGATCATACGATCTGTTTTATTTTTGCATGTATTTGTTTGTAGGTATGAATGCATTCATATTTGCATTTGCGATTGCATATATGCATGTGTGTGCATGTATGTATGTGTGTGTATGTGAGTGTGTACGTGCAAATGTATTTTTGCATGTATTTGTTTGTAGGTATGAATGCATTCATATTTGCATTTGCGATTGCATATATGCATGTGTGTGCATGTATGTATGTGTGTGTATGTGAGTGTGTACGTGTAAATGTTTGAATACTAATGTACGCGCATAAGTGTGTCCATGTGCATGTTTGCGTATGCATTTGCATGTGTGCACGTATATGTATGATGTGTGGGCAAGCAGCTATATATGTAAAACTTCATCTAATGCTTAAACTTTACTTAAAATGTGAAATCAATTATATATGAGTTACATATTTTGTAAGTAACCAAATGAATTAGTACAAATTATAGACATGTGTTTCACGGGACTGGATAGCAAATAAATTAAGATATGATTTATAGAGCAAAATCAAATTGAATTCCATTTCATGCTTCTGCTAATTCTGCTCTCGCCATGTTGAGCTGATACCGCGAAATCATTCTCGATTTGGCATTTTTCTCAAATATTCTCCTCCCCTTCCGGTGTGTAAAACTTTGAATTGCAAAAATGTTCATGAACATTTGTAAATGAATTTAAATTCAATGAAGTTTCTTTTTAAGTTGTTGAAAATTTAACAGGGTAGAGAATAAAATATGAGATTCATTTGAGCACAAGAGAAACCAGAAATTGAGCTGCTTTCCCGGAATAATATCTTTTTATAAATACTGTAAATACAAGAAACGTAATCAATTAACGACCTATGATGGGCAAATAAAATACAATTTTTAAATTAATTACAATTCGTTTCAATTTGTAAGCTTGTAGCAATATTAAACTGTGGCAGGCGATCAAAAATTTTTTCAAATAAAAAATTTTCAAATGACGTCACAAACATGCGAATCTCATATTAAAGAGCTTGCTTGCTCCACACGTCGAAAACAAGCAGAAGAAGTGAAAGCATGCGATGCTTTGGCGCTGGCAACATTTTGCTTAATACTGGTAGGAAAATATTGAAATTGATTGCAGTAATGTGAGACCACAGTAAACAATGGCATCATCAGTCTTCTAATCAGATTACTCATTTAAATGGAGCTCCTGGAAGAGTGTGTAATGTAATTATTTTCTTCGACGGCACACACACACACACACACACACACACACACACACATGCATACCAATGCATAAATGCACGTCTTTGCACATATTTACGCTGTTGCATATATGCTCACACTTATACGTATGTGCATATATAAAAGGAAAAAACATGTATGTATATATGTATGTATGTATATATGTGTTTGTGACGACGTATGTGTTAATGCATGCATCTATAAAATGAAAAAGGCCGCAAAATGACTCGCGCATCAATCAGCATGCATGCACCAATGCATCCATTCCCATAGGAGGAACATAGATTTAATTTTTCAAAAGAAAGTGTCTGAAGAGTACAATCCCTGGACAGATCTCTGTGGCGCAATACATTGACTGATAGAGGGGAAATTAATAAAACGACGCAACTGGCAGGCACACACACAAAAACAAAAGCCAAACAACACATACAGACACACAAACACCATACATACGTACACACACATAAATACGTCCGTGCATACACACACATGCACGACACACATATAAATAAACACGCACAAACAACTATAAATACATTATACTTATAAAGCAAACATTGAATGAAATTCTACAAAGGTAAAAATATTTTTAATGCTGAAAAAAAATTCTAACAGTACTGCAAGCACATTACATTTCATTTTTTTAAATCTGAAACTCCAAATCATCTCAAAAATTGTTTACTCACATAATTCTTAATAAATCCAACAGAATCGACCAAACCTCTGCCATCCAATCAAACGTTTCCTTCAGGCCTCCAAGAAATCTTATCAGCAGTAATTGGTTCTCTGTTACTCGCGTCCTCGATTGGCTGCGAATACGTTTTCAGTTACCTGTACTAATTTTTATTCCCTGTTTTGTTCCCTATTTCCTATAAAGAAAACTATATACACATACGTGTATATTCTAGTCGATCATCGTGGACGAACATATGCACTCGTATACCATAAGAAGCTTTTGAGCATGTAATCAAATGGTAAAAATTGAAATGTGGTACTTGATCATTAACGCTAACTTGATTCCACTTTTATCAGGCAATCCATAATTGTTACTTGTATCAGAAATGAATTTTAAGATATCATGTTAAAACCTGTCAGTCAAAGTTTTTTCTGTTTAAACGTTCTCATTAAATATAGCAGACTAAAAAATTTTCAAAATGCTATATACATTTCAAAACAAATGACCCAACACATTAACTGACTAATTTATTTACAGAATGACATTTTGAAACGAGGATCATGATTCAAGCAGTTTTTTCATAGTTATTATATCACTAATTGCGGGTAATGGCATATCTTCCGGTTTAACAAGTTGTTCTTTATCAGGATTATCATCGGCATCATCAACAATGTTATCGTCGTCAACACCACAAGAAATGGTGCACAATAAATTATCGTTCTCGTACGTAGGAAAGAAATATCTGCAAAGGATGTGTTTGTGGTGTATTCGTGAAGAAATATCTACTTTGGATGTGCTAGTGTGGTAATGTGTGAGTGAAGAACTATCTGCATTGGATGCCTTGGTGTTTTTGTTATAATGTGTGCGTGAAGAAATATCTACTGCAAATGTATTTGTTTCAATGTTCCTAAATGAAATGTTATCGTGAATGAATAACTTGAATGAAATAGCATTGCATCTGTTGAATACCTTAATTAATCATCAAGACCCTTGAAATGCTTTATAAAATGTTCCAGTAGAATCACAATCATGTATTACTTACCAAAACATAAGGAGCCTTCCAAACAAAAACAACAAAAAAATGTACAATGCATGAAGTACTATATTATAAATATTAATTACTGTGGCTGATTGTAGTAGCTGGGAGGTGGAGTAGAGGACGAATGTCTGGAGGAGTTGAAGTGATTGAAGAGATCACCTAACGATGCGAACTTCTCGGAGCATATGTGGCACGTCAGTTGGTGGACCTTCACGTTCACACGGGCATTCGTCATTTCCATTAGATTCCAATGTGAAATGAAATAATGAAAATTTAATTGCAACAGCAATGCACATTATACGAGTAATTTAGCAACTTTTTGCTTCACACGCTACTCATATTTTTAAAAACTGCTTCAATCCATTTCCGGTATCAGCAAATCACCTCCATAAAACACCCTATTTAACGTACTGATTCAGTGCCCGACATAAAAAAATCCTCAACTTAATAGCTACATTCTGTCCCATATACCCATTAAATAACATTCCTCACTTGCAGACCAAACAACCTGTTGCTCTTCCTCTGACAATCTTTTGCAGAGCACACACCCACCTGTTTGGCCCTTGCTCGTTTTTTTATTTTATGCAACAAACATGTTCTGACTCACTCGGATACTCTATAGTCACATAACACGTGTGTGAATTAGCATGGTAACGACAAACGTTTCAAAAAATTTAAAACATTAAAAAAACATTTTTAAAATGCCTCAATAACCTTTCTTCTAATGTAGTTGATTAGTTTGATGCACTGGTAATAGGAGAGACCTGATCTAATTTTCAACAAGTCAAACTGATGCTTCACCTGGCGACAATTTATTTCATGCAGCATTTAATAAAACAATTAGAATGTAATTGTACATTGCATCTAGATCAAACACATTCAAATATAATAATCCAACTGCAATTGAGACAGACTAACTAACAAGTAAATGTTGGTAACTCTCACTACTGGATTGAAAATTTGATCTGCAGAAGAGGCAGTGAACACTGTTTGATGGGGACGATGTCAAATCCTCGACCCAATCACTGAAACTTCTGCCAACGGAATGTGTGCAGGTGTTGAGTTTGAAAATAATTTCATAGATCAAATTCAAGATGAATAAATGTCCAATTAAAAAAAAATAATGAGTTGCGATTTTATCTGTAAAAATATAAAAGTTAAAAAAATAAATTGAGTTAAAGATTTCATTTGTAATGTATGTAAAATTAAAAAAAAGAGTAACGATTTCATCTGTAAGCAATGATGACTGCCATTGAAATGTTCTCCATCAGTATCATCATCTTCATCATCGCTGTTTATATTTTCCTTTTTATCAGGAGTGTCAGCAACATTGTTGGCTTCCTTTTAGTTTTAATGAAAAGTTAAAATAATTATTTGTTTAGAATAAAAATTAAATGAAAGGTCCACAAGATCAGGAGTGAGCAAACTAGGTTGTCAGCCAAACATTATGACCAAAAAAAGGAGACACAAATCTTAAAAAAGTTCTCCCCAGGTCGAAAAAATTTGCTATATAAGTACATTTGCGGCCCTTCAAAAGTAAAATAGTTCTCAATGCGGCCCTCATAGCAAAAAGTTTGCCCTCCTCTGCACTAGATTGCTAAAACTGTGGAACTTATAGCTCCAATCCTGTTAATTTTCTTATATTTAATATATATATTTATATATTAACAAATAGACTTTTTTAAATTTTTAGTAAAATTGAGATTTTGTAATTAACTAAACAAAGTTACTTCTGCAACCAAGTAACAAGCACATCATGCAGTAGACTATTGTCGCCAACAAATTGAAAAGAAGAGAAATGAGATGAAATAAAATTGTTTACAAATACAAAATATGGAAGACCAGATGTTTGTTGATGAAGAATTTGAAGTAGAACTTGTTGGAGGCCCTCAGTCTCTTGTGCTTCTTCTTCCTCATGTGCTCTTTCAGAGCGAAGTTGTCTTTGAAGAGTTTCTCGCAGTAGAGGCAGTGCAGACTGGAAATATGAATCGGCATGAAGGAATGAGATGAAACTCATTATGCGAGAAAATAAAAACAAACTGATAACCTTTTTATGCGCCTTTCAATAACATCCAAAAGTTCATCAATATTAACTGTAAGTGGTAAATAAATATGCCTAATTTCAAATATCTCAAAAACAAAATTAGATCATTTTTTCAATGTCCAGGCACATTATTTTTTAATACTCAATAAAAATTCAAAAACATTTCAAAGATCAAATTAAACAATTGATACCAATGTTTTCAATGGGTCCTAAATTTAAGTTGTGGTTCTCCAACAAATGATTCAAATACTGTATCCTGAAACATTTTGAAGTATCCACAGATTAAAAAATTTTAATAACATTCAATTTTAAAAAATCAGGGTACAAAAATATTAAAAAGCATTTAAACTCTACAAAATAAACATAATAATCAGGTAAACGAGTAAAAATAATGAACAAACCTGCTCTTGCTGAAACATTTATTGCAAAACAGACAAAGTTTGTTAAAATTGTCATTCTCTCTTTCTTTTTTCTGAATATCTAAGAGTTCTTGCTGGAACAAATAAATCACAAATCATCAATGTAAATAAAAAATTCTGATATTAAAAGTTACATTTAAAAATTTAATTCTACTGAAAAAGTTTCCAAGAACAAACCAGCTTATGATTTCTTAATTTTTCTCTTATTTCCTTGTCATCTGGATCAGTTCCATCCAGTAAAAAATTTCCAGTATCATCTTCAAATCAAAACGATTTGTGAGATGTTTCTTAAATTTCATGTTAAAAATGAGGATTGAAAACAAACTTTTTAGACAGATATGTTCATAACTTTTAAAAAAAAACTTGTTTTTCCAGAACCGTAAATATCTGTGAAATAAACAAATATTTATTAATAAAAACCTGATTAAATGAATTTCAGGCAAAAAAGGAGTTAAGGTATAATTATTAATAATATTAATTAGTGATTAATAAAATTTTAAGACGAGCAATCATAGTATGACTTCAGCATCAGCATATTTTAATTAAATATGTGCTGCACACGTAGGTAAATAACATTATTTTATTTATAATATAAATATATAAATTATACAAATTTATATATAAATATATATATAAATTTTATATATAGTGTCTTTTGCTTAACACATGAAATTAATATTACTCTATCTAATTACAATACTTTAATACTATATTACTTGCTTATTTAGTTATTAAATAAATTTTTAAATAAAATTTATTTATTTTATATGTAATAAAACAAATTTAAATAGCCACATCATTTTGAAAGGTAAATTTTCAAAATTTGCAATGATGAGATTGTGCTTAATTAGCAGATGATTTGTCAGCCCCATCAAAGGAGAATCATCTTCTACACCATCGTCACACAACAAACACAACAGATTTCTTTCCGAAGATGATCTGTAGTCACTTCCTAACACTTTATCACCAGCTGCATTTCCAAAATTTTCACAATCAAAATCATTAAAAGTTAATGCTTCCAAAACTGGATTATCCGAGAAGTCACAATGAACGGATTCTTCCATAATTAAATAAATAGAGGAAAGACATTAATTCATTTAATTTTAAATGTGAAACTTTTGAAACACGACTGATGATACGACGTAAGGTGTAATGGAAGCAGGGCACAATTTATCTTATTCAAAAAGTTCACTTTTAAAATTATATAAGTAAAAATTACAAAAAATAAAAAAGTATATAAACAAAATAGAAAATAAAACAAAAAGTAATTAACTAACAAAAATATAATAATTGAAAAAAGCAAACATAAAATTTCAATTAACAAACGAAATAAAATGAGCATCTTCAGTAGGTCCAAATACCGTATACCAAACATTTTTCTCAAAATGTGAGCATCTAGTTTGGCCTTCCATTATGCAACGTATTTGATAAGACTTTTAAAACAAATTCTTTACCAATCAAATGAAAGACAGCTATTGTTACACCAATCCGCAAGAATTTTAGAATTTTTTTTTAATTAAATGCATATTGAAATTCGAAGTAAAAAGTACAATTTATTCTAATTATATGATTTTTACAAATAAAAAAATTAAATTAAAAAAAGATGCACTTTTAATCTACAAAGTTCTTAAGTTCTTTGTGGTAAAATTCAAGCTAAAATAGAATAAATGGAATAAACAACACAATTTTTTTTTAAATCATTTTAATTTAATTGAATTTGTATTGCTTATTGTTTATAAACATATTTTTAATTTTTTGAAAAAAAAATTGAACATAACCATTAATTTTATTTTAATTGGAAAATTAATCTTAACAATTTTTAAAAAATTAATATTGCTTTCCGTGGGGAGTCACTGACTTCAAAATTATGAATTTAAAAGACATTGCCAGATCAATACCAATAGTAATGAAATGTGCTTTCAATAAATTTCAAACATATGAACAATATTTGTATATTGTATGCAAAATTTTTTTCATTTACATTATCTCTAGGCTTCTATCCTTGGCCCTCTTCTATTTATACTCTATACTTCCGAGCTACCTCGTATTATTAATAACTTTTCTTTCTCTAGTCAACTATATGCTGATGATTCTTACATTTATACTTCTTTTCCTCCATCTAATCTCAATAGTGTTCTTCATAATCTATCTCTATGTCTTTCTTCAATTATCGCTTGGTCTGACTCTGTGTCTTAAACTTAATCCTTCTAAGTTTGAATTAATTTGTTTTAATAAATCTAAACACTCTATTACTATTCTTCCTATTATCTTACCTGATTCTAAAACGCTTGATGTCTCCCATAAGTTTCGTAGTCTAGGTTTTATCTTTGATTCTACTATGTCTCTCTCTTCTCAGATTAATAGTGTTGCTAGAAGCTCTTACTTTTATCTACGTAGAATAAAAAAACTTTTGCCTTTTCTTGATGATCCTACTCTTCTTCTTGTTACTTCGTAAGTCTTATCTAGGATTGATTGTTGTAACTCGCTCTACTATGGTCTTCCTGACTCTATACTCTATCTTTTAAGTAAAGCTTTTAACTCTGCTGCTCGTCTAGTTGCTCGTGTCCCTTTCTTTTCTCATATATCTCAATATCTTGTTCTCTTCCACTGGCTAACTATAAAATATAGAATAATTTTTTAATTTTGCACGTTTATGTATAAGTCTCAATCAAAATTATTTCCTAAGTATTTATCAGATATATTTATTGAACCTAAACGCCCGGTTTACGATCGTCTTCTTGTTCTCGTTTCTTCTTAACTCGAGTTAAACACTCTTTTGCCAAATCTGCTTTTGCTTTTTCTGGCCCTTTTCTCTGGAACTCTTTACCTACTTCTCCGACTACTTGTCCATCACTTGCGAAGTTCAGAGCGGATCTCAAGACCCATCTGTTTTAAAAATTCATTGAGGAGCGCTGTTGAACATTGCGGAAATAGCGCTTTATAAGCTAATTGATTGATTGAAACAATGTATAGCATGTTTGTATTAGAATATTAAATGTTATGTCATAATCAACATATTTTTTCAATATATAATGGAACTAAGACGAAAATACAAGAGGTGTGACTGAATATATGCAATCTTGGTAAGACAGTTTACATATTCTTTTTAATAAAACATTAAAAATGTGGTATGTTTGATATAAGATGTTAATAACTGCTATAACCATAATTTGGAGTGAAATAAGTTAGAAACACGGTTTGACATGTAACTAATGAGATAAATACATTTAAGATGAAATAAATAAAATAATAAAAAAAAATCACACCAATTATAAAAGAAAAAAAATGTAAGCATAGAGCTCCATCCAATCTATTCTAGCTGTTATAAATTTTTAAAATTTATAGATCTGTTCAATATATGTTGTTGAAAAATATATCCTAAATAGAAGTATAATAATAAACACTAAAATGATAAATAAACAACTCTAATTACCATCTATTCCAACTAATTTATCAACCAGCTCTTCAGTTATCAGTCTCAATTTATCAAGTTCATTTTCGATATATTTACTTTTAATTTTATATCATTGAATTTGTTGATAGGCCACATTAAATTTTTCTTTTTACTTCTGTTGATGTTTTACTTTTCAATTCATACTTTGCAGCAAGTTTATTAGGCATTAAGTTGTACCTATGATCCTGAAATTATAATAAAATTGATTTAATAAATATGTTTGAAATACATTATAAAAAGCAAAAACTTACTAATGCTATTCTTTTCTGATGACTGAATAACTTATCACCGTCAAACTTTAGCTTTTTGGGAGACACCATACTATTCTACTATTTCAATCCAATTAATTATTTACGCAGGGTTATCACGAGCCCAGTTCATACATAAATCCAAATGTAAATTGAACCAGTCAGGCAATGTGTTCCCGGCGTTCAAATCTAAAAGCGCCGCAACCGTAGCCTGGCTAACGTCATTCATAGACCAGAAAAACGTTACCTGTTTTAATTTAAAGCAATTCGATCATCATTTTAAAACAAATGAAATTTTTTATAAACAATGAAACCAAATGGAAAACAGCTATTGTTATACCAATACGCAAGAAGGGTCCGACAAATTACCCAAGCAGCTATGGATCTTGCCGGGTTATGGAAAAAATCGTTAACATGAATATTATATCTTATTTTTTAAATAGCAACTTATTATCCAAATTTCAACAAGGGTTCTTTTCTGGGAAATCAACATCTTCAAACCTCCTTAAATGTTTAAGTAATTTGTCAAACATTGGTCAAAAGAAAGAAAAATGCGACACAGTCTATCTCGACATTCAAAAAGCTTTCGACCCAGTTTCGCACACCAAGCTAGCTTGCAAATTAAAAGCTTATGGTAATACTGGCAATTGTCTTCTGTGGTTGACCGATTTTCTACATGGTCGCTCACAACTTGCTCAGATTCAAAACAATTTATCCAACGTAATTGCAGTAACCAGTGGCTTAACTCAAAGTAGTGTTCTAGGACCCACACTGTTTCTCATTTTCATCAACGACATAAATAATTGTATTTCCTCGCCCCATGTTTTGATGCTACTTTTTGCTGACGACATCAAATTGTACGCTAGTTCTTCATATTAAACCGAATTGCAACAAGTCATCAACTACATAATTGCATGGAGCAACACTTATTCCTAGTAAATGTTGTTTATGCTTATTTTTAACATCATCCAAAAATATTACAGCCGCAAGTCAATACGTGATTGATCATCACATTTTAAAACCTGTCGACTATTTTAAAAAGATCTTGGTGTACTTTTCGATTACCAAATGAATTTTAATCATCATATCAATGATATCGCACGTAGAGCTTAAACACAAAAGCTTTCTGCACCAATGTCAGTCCTTTATTGAAATATTGTTCACCTGTCTAAATATCAAATAACCAAAATAAAGGTATTCAAAGAAGATTCACTGAAATCATAACATCCTATCTCCATCTACCGTATTCATCTCGTCTACAACTGGCTGGAATTCAAGCATTGAAACATCGCAAAATAATTTTTGATCTATTTCTCGTACACAAAATATTAAACAATCATGACTGTTGAATGATCAAAAATTGAATTAACTATTTTTCTTTTTAACTGTTATTTATTCAGCCAAATTTTTTTAAAACATTTTGTGTTGTTGTTATTGTATGTTATATAATGTTGTATGAATATATATATATTACAATATTATATATATATATATAATGTGTAATACTTTATCTAAAAAAGATCGAATTATAAAATCTCTTGGTTTTCTGAAACAATATACGTTATTTTACTTTATATCAATTGTTGTTTAGCCTAATCTATTCATTTGTAATCTGAACGGCAATGATAAAAACGATAAAACATTTATTTTCAATGTTTGCATTTATTTTTCTATTAGCCATTTTGTTTAGTTGTAATTAAGCTCAATTTGTTTTTCCCGACAGGGTAAGTGGTCCGTTGTGGCCCTCTGCTCAGTTGATTAATAAATAAATAAATAAAACTTTTAAAAATATTTGAATGGCAAACAACACAAACTGGCGAATTGTTTAACAGAATCAACGATAAAATAATAAAATAATGTACCAAACAATAATCAATGGACTCGGATGGGTGCCAAAGTTAGCTAATGATTTGGGCCATATACCTTTATTTATACCTTGATTCAATGTATATGATTTGGGCATAAAAGGACTTTAATAGCTATAACCTAAAATTAAGTAGAGAATTTATAGACCTATTATCTACAACAAGAACCATCCGGTAACAAAAAAAAAACAAAATAGCATCTTTGGATAAGGAGTCACTTTTCACAAATGTTCCGGTAATTAACATAACAACATAATTAACATACAATTAACATAATAATAGATAGAACATCTAATTCCAGTCATTCACCACAACTAATTCCAAAAGATGAATTCGAGGCGCCGCTAATAATATGTACAGCCGAAGCGCCCTTTATTGGCCCGGGAAACGCAATATATCAGCTAATAGACGGTGTAACAATAGGCTCTCCATTGGGAGAACTCTTCGCAAATTTTTATGTTGGACATATTGAAGAAATGTTATTTAAAGAAGAATCAAAGTTAAAGCCCATTATATACTGCCGATACGTTGATGCGTTACATACGATGAAGCTGGTCAAAGAGAAAAACTTCTACAACGACTAAATTTATCAAAATTAAAGTTGACAATTTAAAAATCAGCTGACAATAAACTACCATTCCTAGACGTACTAATACAAAATGCCCATAATAAATTTAAAACCTCAGTATACACCAAACGTTTTGTATTCTAAATCACAAAATTTTTTCTGCATGTTAAAAAATCATTTAAAATTTATGTTGTGTAACAACTGAACGCTTTTTAAGTTTAATTAACGTTCGGCAGCAAGTTCGGCTAGCCAAAAAATTACTCAGCGGCTGGCGGTTAAGCAGAAACAATTCGAATGCGGCGGCTAACGACAGCGACTGACAGATATAAGTGTAGTGCAACATTTTTTCCAAAAACATTCAAGCATTACTTTATTTATTTGTTTAATAACATATTTCTAACCGAAGTATTAACAACTGAATGATTACATTATTTATTCATTCTTTACTTCATAGTAACTCGGTCTGATTTTGTTACAAACAAACATGTCCGCAAATGTCATGACGATCGTTTCTCTTGGAGTTGACAATTTCTTAAGTGTATGTACCGCTAACATAGTATGTATATCACGTTAATTATCATCAAACCATAGTTGTAGATATTTGCATCTATTGTACGTACTTTCGTTTTTTAACTTGTTCTTTTTTTTTTATTTTTTAAAAGTTTGATTTTGTACCTAGATGCTTGCGTAAACGCGTGTGAGTGTGTTTGTGTGTTTATGCATTCCACTAGATGTGTGCTTAAGTTCGTGCGCATGTATGTTTGTGTGTTTAAGTTTGGGTAAGTGTGTCTGTGTGCGTGAATGTTAGTGTCTTTATCTTTGGCATATTTATTATGGATTGAAACGCAAATTCTAACAATTCAATATTATTTTACAACGCAACAACGTCATTTATTGAACTTATTTGTTTTATATTCAGTTATCATGTTGTGAATTTCACGATCGATTTTTACTGGAATAATAAAATAAATTGAAATACATAGAATTGAAATGTGTAAATTTTCAATAATAAACATAAGTGTGCTTGTTTTTGTGATCTTTTCTTTCAATTCAAATCTTTCCTGGAATGCAAACACAAGCAGTCAAAAGTGTAGCCCCTCAAGTGAGACAAGTTGTTGATGTAACCATAAATTTTGGATCAGTGATAAGTTGTATCAACAAATATTTTTTGCATGACATACACATTCTCACTCAGATTGCGTTAATGTAATTATATAAAATGAATACACACACACACATATATATATATATAAATACATATATATACAGTATGTGTGTGTGAGTGTGTTTGCGCGTGTGAGTAGCAGTGAAATAAATAAATGATAAATTAAATATCCTTACTCAATTTTTCATTTATACTCCAATATCGGTACATTTAAATTTTCTATATATTTAATCATTAGTGGTGCAGTCAAGTAGTTAAAGACAATGAAAACTATAACAGCTCTAATTCACCTTGAATTTTTTTAAGCGTGAAAAATACTTTGATGGTTTTAATGTTATCCTTATTTATCACGCCATTGTTAGAATTCTGATTCTTCATTGCACGTTTGCGTAATTAATAGCCACCGATTCCATTAATTAGCTACAGCACATTTGAAAAAAAAACTTTTAGCCAATAGTTTCAATCAGATAATAATTTCTTGGCATTGTAAACCATTGTTAGAATTTACATGAACCAATAAAACACAAGCTATTTATCTTCAGGACTATATATGATGCTGAATGACCGAAATTTTTATCAGAATTTTGATGAATTTTATTTTGATGAATTTGAATTTAAACGTGACTTATTTTTGTTTGAAAAAACGTAAAACATAAATTTAAAAATGTCGCTAGCTGCATCAAATCAGGAAACAAATAATAAAACAGCTAACAACGGCGAAAGGAAGATCAAAGAGTTGCTCATTGAAGCTTTGACAAAAGAGCCCAATGGATTGACTGTCAGTCAGTTATATAACTACATCGTAGCCAACAGCAAAACATTCACTTTGAAAGATATCACTTGGCAGGGCAATGTGAGACATCTCTTGTCCAAAAAAAGTTATTTCCGTAAAACTGATGTTAAGAATGCAACTCAGCGGGGAAGGTATTGGGTATTTGATGTTAATATATACAACCAATTAAGAACGGTATGCGGATGTTTTCGTTTCTGTTATAATGTAACATTTTCTAAAAATTTTAGCAAAAATTCTCACCAAAAAATATTTTAAACAATAAATTTTAATAAAATTAGTTTATTATTTGCAGGAAAATAAGGACAATTTATTGGCGTTGTCACTTCCGAAAGAATTGGACGTCACCTCAACAACTCAGAGGCTCAGCGCACTTTGTGATGATAGCGAATCGAATTTTTGCACGAGTAGTAACAACTTTTTGTGTTCATCTACTGCACAAAATACACAAAGACTATCAAATCAACTTTCCGTTGGCTCATCGCAAATGTATGGTTATACTTCCACATTTTCCAATGACCCAACAGCAAACCAAAATATTTATTCAACAGCTTATCAACAGCATCAATCAAATTATAATGCAGTTGCGCAATACAATTCGTATAGATACAACTTTTCTAATAACGGATTTTTCGTCTCTGGTAATGATGATAATGATCAAACTGCAATGAAAATATCTGAACAAAATAACCAGTTTGCATATGCAACAAAGAGCTCATTCAATCAACCTGGTGGCACATATTTATTCAGCCAAATGAATTCTGTAGAACCTACACAAATATGTAATGTGCATAACAACTTCAGCGGTTTTCGTCATACTAACGCAAATGAAGGATTCAACCAAAATGGATATTATCAACCGACAGACAACAACTTACAGGGTAGTGCATATTTCAACATGAATTCTGTTGCATCAAACAACAACCAGCAAAATATAATAATAAACCCAGTCATTCAGTATTATGGAAATAATCGAAGTTAAAAGAGGAAGAAGTTTATTTTGCAAAATTGGTTTTTTAATAAAACGTTGTCACTTCACAAAACGACGTCACCTCAACAGCTCAGAGGCTCAGCGCACTTTGTGATGATAGCGAATCGAATTTTTGCATGAGTATAACAACTTTTTGTGTTCATCTACTGCACAAAATACACAAAGACTATCAAATCAACTTTCCGTTGGCTCATCGCAAATGTATGGTTATACTTCCACATTTTCCAATGACCCAACAGCAAACCAAAATATTTATTCTACAGCTTATCAATAGCATCAATCAAATTACAATGCAGTTGCGCAATACAATTCGTATAGATCCAACTTTTCTAATAACGGATTTTTCGTTTCTGGTAATGATGATAATGATCAAACTGCAAAGAAGATATCTGATCAGAATAACCAGTTTGCATATCCAACAAAAAACTCATTCAATCAACCTGGTGGCACATATTTATTCAACAAATGAATTCTGTAGAACCTACACAAATATGTAATGTGCATAACAACTTCATCGGTTTTCGTCATACTAACGCAAATGCAAGATTTAACCAAAATGGATATAATCAACCGACAGACAGTAATTTACAGGCTAATGCATATTTCAACATGACTTCTTTTGCATCGAACAACAACCAGTAAAATATAATTATAAATCTAGTCATTCAGTATTATGGAAATAATTGAAATTGAAAGAAGTTTATTTTGCAAAATTGATATTTTAACTAAACGTTAATTTTGATTGGAATCAGTTGTTTGTAAAGTACGATAAGTAAAAATATATTAATGAAATCTTAAACATGAATTATTATTGACGACGAATTATTATGTAAATAAGTTTTGACGATTTAGTTTAATATAAAAATAAAACGTTTTCAGCGCTGGGTTCTTATTAATTAATTCTTATTTAGCATTTTGTTTTATATTTTTTTACTGTTTTCAATTTTTGTTTAAAACAATTTTTCACGCTCGATCTTTGGTGTATTGAGGTATGTTGGAATAAACAAACATCAAAAAATTTACATTCCTCTATTGAATTATTTTACAAAAAGTTGACAACAACAAGTTGGTACATATTTAAGCCGCATTTTTTTATGTTTACAGAAGTGAACCGAATGATACCCGTTTTTTAAATTAATCATCAGATTTTTATTAAAATTGTGGACATCCAACGAAAAATTCAAAACCTTATGTTCCAGCGTTCTTTCGCTCAGTAAATCCGAAATCACGTTCATTTTTTCTAGCATAATCAAAAATATTTCCTCCATTTACTGCAACATTAGATTCCATTGGTACGTTACGAAATTTATTTTTCGGAAGGCTTACCGTATCGCGGGAAACCTACAAAAGGGTAAATATTAAAATATGAATTAAATAATGTGTAGGAACATGGAACAAATTTTAAAAATACCTTATGAAGTAATTTTAATTTTATTTTGAAATATTTCTCTTTCTATTAATGTTAGTAAAAATAATAATAATAATTAAACAAGTGAGCATAATATTATTAAATTTGGTATTGCTATTGTATAATTATTATATATATATTCATGATTATTATATTTAAACTAACAAAACTTTAATTTTTTAAAAATCGGGCCAACCATAATGTCATTTCTGAAATTTGCCACCTGTTTCTTACTATATAATAATTTATAAGCCCAATTTCGTTTTAAAATTTTCCACTGAAATATTATTTTTCACTTTATTATTATACTGAAAAAATTAAATAAAATATTTGTGGATCACGCTATGAATGAAAACTAAACGTTTGAAACTAACGATTAAGTGTTGGTATCTTCATTATAATGATTTACGAAAAATATATAGTGTTGATTCATTTTATGAAAATTTGACAAGTAACAAGTTGGTGTATATTTAAGCCGCATTTTTTTAAAGTTGTAAACCTTATATTCCAATGTTCTTTTGCTCAGTAAATCAGAAATCACGTCCATCTTTTCCAGCATAATCAAAACAATTTTCTCCGTTTACTACAATGTTAGATGCCATTGGTACGTCACGATATTTATTCTTTGGAAGGTTCACCGTGTCGCGGAGAACCTACAAAATGGAAAATAATAAAATATGAATTTACAGAAGTGTTGGAACTTGAAACAAATTTTAGAAATAAACCTAAAAAAAAAAATTTTTAATTTTATTTTGAAAAGAGAATATCTAAAACAAGTTTTGCCTTTTCTGTAAGTATTATATAGCCACATGGTTTTGAAAAGTATATTTTCAAAATTCGCAATGATGTGATTGTGCTTGATAAGCAGATGATTTGTCAGCCCCATTAATCATGGAGAATCATAGAAATGAATATCTTCTACACCATTGTCACACAACAAACACAACGGATTTCTTTCCGAAGATGATCCGTCGTCACTTCCTAACACTTCGTCACCGGTTGCATTTCCGAAATTTTCACCAACACGAAGGTAATGTTCGCGACCGTTTCGGCAATGGTGAAGCATATCTAACAGGCGGAACCAATCATGTCAAATTGGCTGAACATTTTGAACTAATATAGTTTCGTTTAATAATATTACACGGAATAAAAAATTAATTTTGTTACATAAGCATCTGCGTCCCGTTATTATTTTGAAACGATAGGATTTCGGCTACGGTGATGCATATCTAACCGGCGGACTCAATTATGTCAAATCGACCGAACAGTTTGATCTAATAAATTTTCGTTTGATTAAAATACATGGAATTATTAAAAATTAATTTTGTTACGTGAGAATCTGCGTCCCGTTATTATTTTGAAACGATACGGTTTGATGCCGTCAAATTTAACGGTAAATAACGATACGATAACAATACGATAACGAGGTATTGAAGAATAGCATCATGAGCATGAGTATGTGCACAAGCTGTATGATTTTTGAGTTTTTGAAAGATAGTATTTGAACCAGGAAATCGCGCAATAACAACGATGCCTGGCATATTTACAGTCTGCCCTAAGTTGTTTTCCCGCCAACCCCGCTTTACAAAGTGTACTGTATTAAAACAGAAAACAGTCATTCAATTAAAAAATTAAACAAAAGTTACCTTTCTTTTTGGTAACAGTTTTTTATGCAATGATATCGATTCGACACATTGTAATAATAACGGTACGAGACAAAAATGTTTTTTTCACATTTTTTATTTGATACGAGACTTTTTGGAGAATGTCCCGTGTTAATAACGATACGATATTTTTAGAGTCGTTATAAAACCAGTCATTCAAATGGAAGAAATTAAATAAGTTTCGATTTTTTTTATAACTTTATTTTTTAACAATATGCAATTATATCATTTCCACACATTGAAATAATGCTACGAGACGAAAATTGTGTCTTGTATTTTTTATTTCGATACGATAGACTTTCTTGAAAATGTCTCGTATAAATAACTATCGGAGATTTCTGGTATTGCTATAAAAAGATACGAGATTTTTCGTATCGTTTTTATAACGATACGAGATTTTTTTATCGTTATTATTATTAAATCTCGATTGATAACGAAAAGAAAGGTTCGAGACGCAGGTGCATAGTATTAGATTCTATATATTATGATTCTACATATTATTTTTTTGATATTATAATACAATTTCAAAATTGTAAAGTATATTATCGAATATTTTAAAATTGTGTTAAACTTACTTCAATTTATAAATTAATTTTAACGAATTCGTTGAACTACTCGCAAACAATCTAAGTGCACCACAGTTTTGAAGTTTCCTGCATCTGATGTGCTACAACGTCATTCCTGTTCTTGCTTGTAGTATAGTTTATAATTTGATTAACACAAAATGGCAATACCAGAATAGAATACCGTGATTATACTTTTTGGACTGTTTTAAATTTTAGATGTTTTTTTAGATTATGCTTTGAAATGGAATAAAATTTAAAAAAAACTTTTAAAATTATACTACATGTTTAAACTCTAATAGTAGTAACTTTCTAAAGAAATGTTAATATTTTAATTTTCGTGTTTTAATTCGCGGCATTTTTTTCCTTTTTTTAAATGAGTTATTTGCTACAATTTTTTGTACCAAATCCCAGTTTTTTTGTTGGCTTCTCTAAAAAAAGAGTTACATTTATACTAATATAAATTGTTTTAATTTCACACGTAGTGATAATTGATGACTCAACTTTATTCATTGTTTCTTTTGCCCATAGTGACATAGAAATTACATCACAAAACGGACCGGATTCACGTAGATCCAGATGTTTATGTTTCGGCAGTAAATACCGTCAGTGAAACAGGACGTTCCTCATCAATAGTTTTATTTTTATGATGCTGCATCACATCAGAGTTTGTCAATTGAAGTCATTAGTCCATTGTTAACAGCTGAGCGTAATTGACAAATTTTTAATGATAATTTCGAACAAGAAATAGCGAAAGGTATAGGCAGAGAAAAGTTACTAAAGATATTTTTTTATAACTAAAAATTGTACAAAGCCACAAAAATTAATGTTAAACGATAACTGTATCTGTTAGCGATATTGATATCTGTAGCGTGAAATTACCAATTCATACAAGTAACATTTTGATTTTCAGCACACACAAACCACACACACACACACACACACACACACACACACACACACACACAGACTCATAGCTATCATAATCCCTTGGCTAGTAATACTTGGTACATATTATATATAGATAGATATCATGTATTTTTGTCTCCCGTAATTTTATGAGCTTTGACTATGTTTTATTCAATCGCTAGTGTTTGCACTTTTTTAGTGGTATACGTTTTTCCTTTATTATTATAACGTATTATTATATTCTTTTTGTGTTTTCATACATTTCAATTAAAGCTAAAACTTATATTTTATAAATATGCTGTACTAATTTGTCGTAAAAACACTACAGTTTATTATATTTTACAACGTATATATAGTTAAAATTTATGCGCTTGTTAATCTGCACTATTCACGATCATAGCCATCACAATCTATTTTTCAATTTAAAATATTTAAATTTCACTTTTT